TGAAATAAATAAAAAATTAATAGGCCAGATTCAATTCTTACACCAAGCTACGTTATTAGTAACATAGGCTGTAATTATTTTTATATATATATATTTTAAGAATTCTTGCGGATTGTCTTAAATGATTCTTTTTTATTAGAATAACTCAATAACTCAAACCTCGGTAACTTAAAAACTTCTATAACTGCAAAAAATATGTTAAAACCTCGACAACATAGACCCTTGATAACTTAAAACCTCTATAACTTAAAATATTTTGTGTTTCCCTTCGACTTTAACTTATCGAGGTTCTGCTATATTTATTTCACGCTATAGGATATTTTCATGTTACTAAATTTAGGAAGTGGGCAAATTAGAAAAAAAATCATTATGCGAGAAAGGGGACAATAACAGCAAAATAAAATTGACATTTACTTATCAAAGTTTTTTTTAAAAAAAAAAAACAAAAAATAATCTGTCTTACGTTGCTCATCATCCTGCATCATGTGAAGTTTCCCTACCACGTACTTCCCCTCCCCTTCCTCGTGTCCCTCCTCTTCCCCAACAGGGGAATCCAAACTGGACAGCAAATCCACATCGAAGTAGGATTTAGATTTCTCTGCGTCATTCTGAAAATCGATAAAAATAGTTGTAAATAAAAATGTTAATCATAAAAATTGCGAACGATAACGACGAAGTCGCGAGCATAAGCTAGTTAAGATATTAAATTTTATATTAATACTAGTTGTTCCTGTGCGACTTCATCCGCATGAAATTATGAAAATGTTATTTTATTGTTTACATTTGTCAAATTATCAAAATGACATGACATGATGACAAACCTTGGCAATGTTGCTTCCTTGATGTTGGCAGCAACTTATGGTCTCTTTCCCACATTAGGGTTTTTATCCAAAATATTTACCCTCTAAGTTTAATGGCTATATATAGCCTAAAGCATGACGTAAGTGTAGAGCTTTTTATTAAAAAAAGAATTATTCAAAAATATGCTGTAATTGCTGACATCTTAGGCAACAAAGAAATGTGTGTTTACGCTTTATTGTAATAGTATAGATAAATTAAAAATAATATTACCTTATCAGAAATATCTTCGAAGACCAATTTCCTGTCATTTCCGGAATTTGTTATAACTGCTAAGGAACAAGCTGCAAAAATATTATTTTTACACTAAAAATAAACAATAAATACTGAAATACAAGATCTTTTTTTCACTAATTTTGAACATGTGATGGAATTTAATTAAAAATGTTAAAGTCACCGATAAATCAAAAATGTCGCTAGTTTAAAATTTGCCTAGGATTTAAATAAGTCGTTTTATGAATTAACAAAAATTATTAAATGTATAGATAAAAAAGTATTTAATAAAACAACTGACAGAGGAGGGGACATCGTTCTGTGTATCCCCTCCCCGATCAGGAAGGCAACGCTATTTGGATATATATAGACATCTGTCGCTTCGCTATTTAGGCGATTTATAAATAATTAATTTTATTTCTACCCTACCTTCATCCATTTCCATCGGTTGATTTCCGTCAGCGCCATTTTCGTCACTTTTTGGTGAATTTTGACTAATTTCCGTAGAGAAGATATCATTTGGAGGTACATCTAAAGAGAAACTTAAGGCGGGGCTCGTCTTCGTGTGCGTGAAACTGGATGACGTGACGGATGACGTCACAGTGTTGTGCGTCATGACGGATGACGTCACACCTCGTTGCTTTGACATACCAGTTTTTATACTCTGTGTGAGAACTGACGAGCCTACTGTCACTTTTAAATTTAACGTTGAAGGGGATAATATTCTTATTTCAGGCTGAAATATTATAAATAACGGTATAAATGGACGCGATCTGTGAGAAGGGGAAAACAATAATTAAGGGGGGCTTGTAGTTTTTTTATACTAAAGAGAAATCAATATGACGTCTGATTTTTTATTAAAAACTGACAAATGGTTTTTGAGACATTTAGGTTTTTAGGTATTGTAAGCATTTATTTATCTTTATATAAGACAGAAAAAAGACATATACATTATAAAATTCAATTCTCAAAACTGCAATAGTAATTTTGTACATTCACAGCAGTGGAAATAACCATTAAATGTTATTTATTACTGTTTTGGTTAAATATAACAGTTAATACTTACATTATTTAATTTGGAAGCTAACTTAGATAAAGGGGAGGCTCCCAATTTCCCTCCCTTAAGCACAAAGTCAGAAGGTAAGGGTTGTAGTTTAGACGCGGGTAGGATTAATTTTTTTCCACTAAACTTCTGAGGACTTGTTTCTTCGTTATAAGTGTCATAATCTAGATTATGTCGTGGTAAAGTTTTCTGGAATTGTGTGGACATTGAAGTTTTTATTACTTGCAATCTGAAAATGGCAAATAAACGATGTTAAAAAAATGTTTTCGATTTATCTCTTTGCTTTTCGCTTCTAGTGCGATTTTAATAATTCAGTTAAAATAATTATAAATCAAGGAATGTTATTTAAAAAATATGAAGTAGATAGAAATGTAAATAATTTTACATTAAGTTAATTTTGAAGAAAATGTTTCGTCATACGTTCCATTGTAAATTTCTCGCAACTTCGTCCGCGTAAAATTACAAAATATAGCCTATGTTACTCACAGATAAATTACCTTTTTGATCGTGAAAGAATTTTTAAATTCGGCCTAGTAGTTTTTGCATGAATCCAATACATACAACAATCGAAAAATACAATTCTTTCCACTTTATAATATTAGTATTGATATAGAGATAAGTGGATCTTGTTCTGAAAGTTAATCTTACCTGATTTGTAGAGAATCATATTCTATACAAGTTTTGTGACATTTGTTGCAAAGTATCTTTGAGTGAATATTTTTCTCCTTGATTGGTTTTCCCAGAATTTCGCTAAGAATATTGACCATTGATTTACCGGATCTTTGTAAACTCTGAAGTAAGAAAAATCATGTTATTTAGTACAAAGCCTAAAATATATTTCTTTTTATAATACAAGGTTGGCAACCGAGCAAGCGGCCACCTGAATCCACCGATATGGAAAGCGACCGCTGCATATAAACATCCGCAATTGCAAATGCGTTGCCTACCCTTAATTGACGGAGGATACGCCACATAAAGAGGATATTTCCTCTCCCAATGCGTCTCCTCTTCCGTCAAATCTACTTTTCCATCCCATCATTTCCTCTTAAGAAAAGGGTGGAAAGGAAAAGGGACTAAAATTAGGCCTCCGGCACCACACTCATCAGCCGAAACGCGGAATTGCTTCCACTTCACGCCAGTTTTCTGTGTGGTCGTGGTATTACACCGGGCGAGTCGACCCATTCGTGCGAAGATATCATCCAGTCAAAGTCCTGTCAAAGTCCTGTCAGAATCGGTCCACCCGTTCGGGAGGTAACCAAGGACAGAAAAAAGATTGGATTTTTATAAGCAACGCAAATACATCATAGTAGTAAATTTTTTTCCCGATACGAAGACCCTATGTTATCATATATATAGACTAACTTTCGCCAGCGACTCCGTCTGCGTGGAGTTACAAAAATAAAAGTGAGTAGCTTATGTGTTTTTATAGACTGTCCTCATCTATTTAAAATTTCATCGAAATTCGTTCAGCAGTTTATGCTACAAACTCTAACATCAGTATGAAGTATGATTTACGCTATTGTTTTAAAAATGGCGGGAAAATAAACAAAATGGTGACTTAACCTTGGCGTTTAACCTCGAATGACAGCGAACGCCAAAACGTACCTATAAACACATACTGTCATCTCTTTCATTCTCCTTAAACAAAGTGAGAAATCTATGTTTCTACACATTCACGAAACCTTACGTTATAAGCAAGTATTTAACCGAAAAGACAGTATGTATAACTTACATTTTCTCCAAATATATTGACAGCATTTCGTAAAGAAACTCCGGCTCTCGAATTACACACAAAACAATATTGATTCATCCTGGAAAATATTATTTGGAATTATTCATCAGTCAATTTTATCTAGACAAATGACGAACAGGCGACATTCATAACATGTCGGTGACTATAACAGAGGGCGCACACCTTTGATTAAATTATCGCAAAACGGTTGTGTGATTGTCGATTGTTGCGCTGCCTTCAACTGTTTAGTTGCACAACTAAAATGGAGTAGTGTGTGTTCCATATAAACTAAGGATTCAAAACGCAACTAACAGTTGTGGGACAGTTTAGTCAAAGGACATGCTCTAATAGAAGATGATTCTTTTTTTTTCCTATCAATACGTGAAATTTACTTTAAATCAAATATCTAACAAAAACGTGTTAAACAACCGCAATAACGTTGTGGAATATTGTTTTTAGAAAATGGACATGTTGATAAAACATTCTCTACCTGCGAAGTCGTGTCGTGTTTAATTTTAAAAGTAACCATAAACCTACCGAGATTTAGATTTGCGTATAAGTTAATTACAATTAAAAACGATAAAACTATTTTGACTTCTTATGACACAACTATATGTGTGAAAAATAGTCCCTAGATGGTTATTTTTATGTAAATCTATACTGAACGAAATTATCAGGACGAAACGAATGTTTATAGTTACAGGTTACAGGTAAATAGATATTTCGTGAGAATAATCACTTCTTGTGAAGAAACCAATCTCATCGTAACGTGTAAAAGTGACAAAATACTTATATAACATTCAATTTGTGTAAAACTAAGCACCTTTTAACAAAAGTGTTGTTTTGTTTACGTTATTATCATTATCAGTTACTAAATTTTCAAATCCATTACCACCATACGCATATAAATTTTCCAATTCCTTAAAAGAAACATGTCTGCTATAATATTTTCGCTAATTCTTAAGATACGGCAGCCATTTTGTAGCGTATAATGATTCGAGACGCCTTGTTATCTTGTTTTAATCATTATTCACCATTTCAATAAATGAAAACATGATTACCTGTTAGAATCATCAAAAATCGCGGAAATATATTTGTTTCTGAAGGTTTCCAGAAGAGTTTTTTATATAAGTTGTCAGCAATGATTCACTAGCACAAGCAGCCACCATTACGTATTGACATTTGGTAGTGCGCGTTGTTGCCACAAAAGGCGCTGTCATTTCCTCTTTTGTTCGAAGTTAGATTAAAAAAATATTTATTTATTATTATTACTCTCCAATGTTATTAAAAATGTGTCTTAATTTTAATGGTTTTTTAAAAAATATAAAATTTTTTTGTTCATGAAATAATACTTTCGACATGTTTATGGTATTTTATCTATGGTGTGCAACTGGCGGGAAAATTAAAACGTCAGTGCTCTGGATAAAAGTTATTGCCGTCACTTTGAGGTTAAATCGTTTTAGTAGTAGTTTTATTTATTAGTTAGTATATTGAAAATAAATAAAACAATGACAATCGAAATATTGTTTATTTCTATAAAATTTACAATACTCTGCGCTTTGAATGTAGCTCTCTAAGGTATACTTTAATACACATTTTTACACTTGAAACAAAAAAATCTTTATTTACATATTTGACAAACTTTCCGCCGTTTTCAACTATACAAATATATTTATTATTAACTTACTTTCATGAAATCTTCGACAAAACTTGTGCAGCACCTTTAAGAACTTTATAGAAAAAAGTAAACAAAGACGAATCAGTAGTGTTTGTAGTTATCCTGATAGATAAGAGGTTAAGAATTATATGGAATTATGAGGTTTTTGTGTTATTTAAAATAAATATTAATCTACAATCTAAAAAAAAATCATATACTATTCTTTCAAGCGAAAGCACTAATTGTAGTTTTGGTTATTCTTTGGTATATTAAATGATTTTATTTATATTTACATCTCTAACTTTATGATGTTGTTCAATGAGATAATACAGTGTTGACTCTGCAAGTTCATTTTTGTACAAAAATATGAATAAACGTGTTAAACCGAGATTGCATAAGTTTAAGATAGAATAATTACTTAACATCAGATGTAAATAACTAAAAGTCTTCGGAATAAAGTTTTGTCTCAAACCTTTAAAAATCTTCTATAAGTGATTGGCCACTAATAAATTAGTGAAATACTACAATTAGACATGTTATAAGTAAACTTTTAATGAACTAAAGAGAGAAGTATTAAGTCTCTTATGTCTGCCACACTCAGTCGTTAAAATCTCACTAAGGGAGTTCCTTAGCATAAGTCAAATATACTGTGTATTTTAGTGACTGATTACTGAAATATTTAAATATGCAATAATTTAAAATAATGCCACACTTAAATTCCTGTTAAAATTTTGATTTTTTTCAAATTGTAAGTACTTTAAAGTGTTTATATTCTTTTAGGACGGCAATAAAACATTATTTGCTTTTTATTTGTTTTTTTTTGAGTAGGATTGGGTTATGGGTTCTTGGTTTTTGAGTTGATGTTGGTACAAAAAGAGATTCTTGAGTTTTCTTGCTCTTTGTCTTGAGTTGGTGCAAAGTGGTATTGTGTTGAAATGAAAGATTGTTGTGTTGACATGTATTTAATGTTCATCATGTAACTACAAGACCTAAATCCCAAAGAAATCTAGAAAACAATAGAAGTGAAAATTAAAATTAAAATCTTAATATTATATGCCGGTGTGCTTGTTTGTATGTCCTTCGTAGTTTCTTGTTTTGACTGATCTGAGGTGTATTTGAGTTTGCAATACTAAAAAAATTACAAAAAAACACGCTTCTTTGTAAATTTTTAGTGCAAACTCAAGGTAATCGCGACATGTTTGTGTTATTTACAATAGACTACCGGATAGGAAATTTGTAACTACCCTCAAAGAAATTTATATTTTCTTGTTAAATGTACTCTTAGTTTTAAATTCTTTGATGGTAGTTACAATTGCTTTTTTAGTATTCAGTTTATTGATATAATTAAAGGGAACAAAAAATTACATATTTCTCTGTATACTACATAGAAAATTATACGGACAGAAAGCTACCACAACATTAAAGTACTATTACTAATACATTCATTATTTATATACTTTTTTTTAATTAATTTCATTCAAAAACATTTCTAGAGAAAAGGATATGCATCTAAATACCTGATAACAATTTTTTTTCCCGCTATATTTAAGAATTATTATGATTTTTGGCCGGCTATAAAACTGTCTATACTATAAAATGAAAAATAAATACAATTTCTGTAAGATCCACTAAATAGTACTTAAATTTAGTGACTAATTAATCGACTTTTCAGTATATTTGTGGTAACAAAAAAATATAGCAACAATACAGGGTGTTTGGAAATTCTTGTGCCAGGTTTTTACAGCAGTAAACATCTACCACAAATTCACATACAAACATTTACAATTAGATTTAGGGAAAAAAATATAGCATTAGATAAAATGCCGACTAAATCTATAACCTTGTGCTGAGCCCAAACACATAGACATTAAGAAAAAACTTTTTTTTATAGAAAACTGTACTGTTATCCCACTATTCCAATATAATTGACATTGCGACTACTATCCTAGACAGTGCTATACTATTTCTTACATTTACACATATTTTTTTAATCGGTTCTTAAAAAAGGTTACTCAGTTACTATTGGTTACAAAAACCCATGCGGTAGTCGTAAATGCACACACCAAGCATTAAAAACTAGAAAAACAAAATGAAACTCGTCCATAATATTTTCTATATTACATCGTTTTTTTTTTATTTTCATGTACAAATCTTTTGACAAGTTTTCAGAACAAAATAATCGCACGATGACAAAATTCACAGTAACTTCTACCTTCACATCAATTACACAAACTAATATTGCCTAAATAATCACTAAAAATCGGGAAAAGTCAGTACCATTCTCTAAAATTAACATATATTGAAAAAAATACATACAAAACACTTCTCTTGAATACGAAAAAATTGTTACTAAACATGGAATTCTGAAACATTTACATTATATCATTTGACAAAATCGAGAATGGCACCGTATTGACAAAAAACTAAATTCTAACAATACAAATGGGAATAATGCTTAAATGATAAGCCACTAATTATAACAAGAAAGAAAAAACTCCGACCACCTCTTTAAGGCGTTTGTCGATAGTAAAATTAAAAATGCGTACGCATCCACGGAGGCTATTTTATCTCCGCACCAAAAAAAGAGGAAATAATACTTTTAAAAGAAAAAAAATAAAAAACAAAAAAAAAAGTGGAAATGTCAATTGTGTTAAACATGAAAAATTGTTACTGTGTACTAAGTTATAATAAGAACTATCTGTTAATGTCTTTATAGGAGTGATCTACATCACTAAATAGAAAAAAAGTATAAGGAATAATAATGTTGCCATTAACAAATTATTACCCCATTAAATATTTTTCGTTAGTGGTAACTAAAATATTCTACGTGGATCCACCATAGACTACATACTAATTAACTAAAGCCAATTATACTTCAAACTATCAAAATAATATAAAAATATACCCCGTTACTGCTTCAATTTTAAAAAATAACTCAAATCACAAAAAAGTGCAATAATTTTAACTTTGAAAACAATTTCCAACAATAACAAAAAAATCACACACGTTTTCTCTTACATCAAACTTAAAACTTTACCTTTTCACTGTCAATATTTTATTTGGAGACATAAAACATAAAAAAGGTAATAAAAACGTATATTTAAGCTGTATTTAAGTGGTAGGTAGTCTACAGTGTAACTTATTGGTTAGTGTTTGCAATGGCAACACCGCGCCGCCGCGGCTGTGTGTGTGTGTGTCGCCGCCGTCTTGATATGTGTGTGTGTGTGTGCGCCGCCGTCGCCGGTTAGCTAGAAAAGCAAATACGGTCAAATTGTGAGTCTCGCCATGTAGATGCGGCTAATACGAAGAAAACTTAGGGTAGTTGGTGATTTCTGATTACTAGATACGCTATATAAAGTGTTTCCCGATGGACTAATCGAACCAATGGCTTTTTTTCCCATTGGACCTATCGAAACCGTAGAATCAATAAGTCCAATGCTAAAAAAAAATCTTAATTGGAAACACCCTATATAAGTAACTACCAAAATAGACACAAACGGTTATATTTAAAAGATTGTAGAGTACGAATTCTTTGTGGGTAGTTCAAAATGTCATATCAATGTAGGTAGTACAAAATGTAAGATTCAAGTAATTAAAATTTTCTTCGATTAGGCCGCGTTAAATGTAATTATAATGTAAGTAAAAAAAAACAAAATACTTATAGATAAGAAAAAAAAAACAGAAAATAGAAACTGTAAGGCATTCAAATTAAGAGTACACAGAAAAGACACAAAAACTCAAAACTAAGCGGAGAAAGCCAATTGAATTATTTAATATACACTGAATATACGATTTATACTAATTATTTGTCTTTTTGATATGTAGATTTCTATGTGAAGCACTTTTTTAAAGTTAAAATTGACTTTTTAGACATCGACAGCTGACAGATCTGTTCAAAGCCTAAAGCATTACGCCTCACAAAATATATAGCGGCAGTATTATATATATCTACAACGCTATGTCTTCAAAATTGACATAAACAGTCAATATTCGATCACAAAGATATGTGTCTTCCCATTTCGGCCGCCATCTTGTTATCGCGTCAACAAAATGGCGTCAACACGCACTTACGAGCTAAATTCGCTTTTTAAATATATCTGTAATGTATCGATTGTACTTATATAATAATCGGCTCAAAATAACTTTTTTTTTTAATATGTACATTCGTTTTTTTTTACATTTGAAGGCTACATTTATCTTTGGCTATCATTTGGCTTGGACAAGACAAAAAAAAATTACGGAAATGGGACATAATTTTCAAAATGCTGCATTGAGTAATTTAAAATCTGCAAATACATAACTTAATAAATAGAAATATGTATACATTCTATATAAGAATAATCTATGTTTTTTTTTATTAAATTATAACGAAATAATTACGTATATCATATCAAATATTTGTTCTCATCTTTATTTTCGCTCAGTTTAAAAAAAAACATCATCAATTTTATTTGTATTAAGAATTTGCCAAATCGATTCATTACACGTTCGTTCAATTTCGATATTTCGAAAATTGTCTATGAACGAGATCAAATAAAATTAAAGGCGGTAGAAAGCAAAAATAAAGATGAAACTTATCTATGGTCCCTACTATAAAACTGTTTAAAATAGAGTAAATATTTATTTAACAATCGGTCAAATATTCATAAAGCTTTCAAGAATAAGTCAGTCAAAAATTTCGCGTAAATATATCCATGATAAAAACAGAAATTTCGAAAACGGATAAAATCTTTATCAAGGGATCATAATCATTTAAAAATAGTAATTTAATAAATAATTTCACTATAGAAAAATATTCTCTTAAAAGAACATAAATATCATAAGTCGGATTCAGAAATAACAAGGAATTATAATTTCAACATTAAAACATTCATATAAAAATTTAAAACGAAAAACTTTCAAATAAAATTTCCATTATCATCCAAAAAAACAACAATAAAAATAATTCTCCCTAATATAGGCATTAAAAATTATTTTTCAAACAAGGCAAGTTAGGCCGGTAATTACTACTGTATAAAATAATACAAAAACGCACTCAAACATACAAATCTGTACCCATTTTGTGCAGAAATAACCTAAAATACTAAGGGACGATCGATAATCGATTAAAAACATCGATTTTACCATCAAATTCCGACATCAAAGTAACATACAAAAAAAATTTAATCGATATTCGAAAACATCGATAACCATCGATACATCCCTAAATTACAACACTGAAAAAACCAAATGAAGCTGGCAACATCTACACACGTCACTGTCAAAACTGACAATCATTGGTCCGATCTCTAAAACACATTTTTTGTCTTTTTTTTCAATCACTTTGCCTTTACTCTGAAATATTCAAAGTTCATTGACACTTATTTAAACTATTTGATGTTTATTCTCTTACTAGTATTCGTCGTCGAGGCCGTTTTTCTGCGCTTGTCTGTTCTGTTCCTGGCTCTTGGTTTGCTGCTGACCCTTCTGGCTGATCTGCCGTGAGGATGAGAAGCACAGCTTCATCACGAACGGGAATTTCGCACCTGCAAGGAAATAACAACATTTGATTGATATCTATACTATTATGATAAAGTGTAAACACACACTTCTTTGTTGCCTAAGATGTCAGCAATTACACCATATTTTTGAATAATTCTTTTTTTAATAAAAAGTCTACACTTACGTCATGCTTTAGGCTGTATATTTTAACGTTTTCACTTAGGGGGTAAATATTTTGGATAAAAACCCTAATGTGGGAAAGAGACCATAAGTTGCTGCCAACATCAAGAAAGCAGGATTACAATGGTTTGTCATCATGTCATGTCATCTTGACATTTGCAATTGATAATTTGACAAATGGAAACAAAAAAATAAAAATAATTTTATGCGGATGAAGTCGCACGGGAACAGCTAGTTATATAATAAAACGTAAACACACAGTTTCTTATGTACGATGTCAACAATCATAGTATATTTTTGTTCAATTCTCTTTTTATTAAAAACCTCTAAACGTACAACATGACAGGCTATATATTTATCACGCTATTAAATTTACAAGGCGAATAAATTAGAAAAAAAGGCATGCACATCCAAGAAACAATGTGACGTTAGTTACTTAAATGTCCAATAATACTAAAAAGCTTTAAATTTCAGAACAGACGTCCGTTCTCATCGACGGCTCATGTAATAATGAGTACTAACAGTTTATTGATTCGCTCCCCACTACTCTAGAGACAGTGTAGCCAACATTGCTATAGTTTGTCTAAATAATTTAGATTAGTTTGACAATTCATTTCAAATTTAGTAGGGATATTGTGTAAAATCAGTCACGAATCTTATCGATTTTCGATTTTTATTCTTATAGAAGTTGGAATCGATAGATTTATAGTTATAACTAATTAAATAAAACACTGTTTTCTCAAATTAATAATGACCATAATAAATAATGAGAGTAAATAAATGTTTATTACAGTCGTACGTAATCGAATTGGATTTCGCTATTATTTCTGTCATCGTTAAATTCTCTACACTATAATCAATACTAGAATTGTCCTCAGAAGAAAATAATAACTTTAGTTGAGTTTGTTAATTATTTAAACCTATTATCGATAGTTCAAAATTTTTCGCTGCGTGTTTCGTCACTACGATACCTGTCTATTAAGCATGGCGTTTGACTTCATATAAATTGTATTCGGTATTTCATGCGTCATTTATTATACTAATCTAAATTATTTAGACACACTATAGAGTAATTACTTCAATCAATTCTTTTTAAAATCAAAGAGATTAAAATAAAGAGGAAGCATAGAGGACACTTCACTTGAGACATTTTTTACATTATCTTCAAAACCAAAATAAGTATCAGTGAATAATAAATTTTTGTATTTCATTTTGTGATACTGTTTAGTTTGTTTTGTAACAATAGATGGAGCTTATTATGATTTTATAAAATGTTTTATAACATGACAACATAGTACCTGTCAAAGAAGCTACCGGTGAAAAAATGATTCCTAAATCTAGTCTAGATTTCTTAAATGTCTGTTTATTTACGAAGTGGTGTAATAAATTGTCACCTAAATGCAGTTAGCATACTGGGAGTCCTAAATTCAGTCCCTATCCTATCCTATTCTTAAGTAAAAGGGAAGGGAAGGGAAGATAAGTCGATGTAAAAGATAAAAGCCGGTATTTACCCGGGTGCTGTATGGTGGCGTGGTTGCAGGCCATGATGGCCATCACCGACTGCGAGATGGTCGTGAACTCCATCAGACCGGACGATGATCTGAAAATTTACATTTTTAATTAAAATTAATAATTAAAGCCTTGTTTTATGCATTACTCTCGTAGACAAGATTAGGGTACGGATCAGTTACCCAAAATGGATACTAGAAAAACATAAAATAAATACACAAACAACTTGGAAAAACAATAACCACTAATTTTTACTCAAACATTTGTTATTTTTTCATGAAAAATTATACCACATATCAAAAAACACACTTTTTCTTTTTATTCCCAACCGTCACCCCACTCTGTCCCTATATGGGGACAGATGAGAACATAATGTTTCATCCGACCCACCATTTTTTACGAGGGGACGGTTGGAACTTATTTAATTTCATAACGGTTCCATTTGTCACCTGATTGATGATAACGGGACTAAAGGTAGGACGGATGAAAGTTTTATTCTCATCTGCCCCACATGGGGACAGAGGGGGTGACGGTTGGGAATTATCCACTTTTTTTGGAAAAAAAATTTTGACGATTCCTCCTCCCTTCTTTATACGCCTAAAATATCCTTGATTGTTGATTTTATACAAGAACATAATCATCCTCCTACTTCATACATCGCATTCGCGTGACGTGACGTGCATCTGTACATCCGTCACTCTCTAACTGCAGCAAGCAGTATGTTACCTCTCGCTCTTGAGCGGGAACTTGGAGATGGTGTGCGGCGGCGCCACGTCGTAGTCCGCGAACACCTGCAGCAGCTGCTCCTCCGACACGTCCGGCGGCGTGTTGAAGAAGTGCAACACCTGCGCACCAACATCACCACCATCACCACCATCATCATCATCATCATCATTTATCTGCCCACTAGACATATGCCTTTCAGAATATATCTACATTTATACCAATATTATAAAGAGAAAAGATTTGTATTTTTGCATGTAATCGATTCACGCAAAAACTACTGGGTCGGTTTTAAAAATTCTTTCATCATTAGAAAGGTAATTTATCTGTAAGTAACATAGGCTATATTTCATTATTACTAATGTTTAGGAACTATTAATAATCAGCGTGTTTCTGGACGGCGGCGTTACAAATTTAGTAAACTTTAACTTTTCTCGGTTTACGCTGCCTAAACCGTTAGTGGTATACAAAAATGATATATGAAAGAATTGTAGATCTCGAAAAGCTCTACAAAAAAGTCCCTGATAGCATATATCTATCTTTAACGGTTTTCTTACAATAACCAATTTTTTGTTTTCAAAATGAGATCAATATTTAAAAAAATTCTTACACCATTTAAAAGCTACATAATAACTTAGAATAGTTTTATTTTTTTTTTAATTTTACGCGAAGTCGCGAGCAACAGCTAGTTATCGTTATTTGAAACCTAACAAAATACTGACCTTGGACGGAGGCTGTATCCTGTTCTTATGTATGGAGGCTGGCGTCAGGAAGCGGTTGTTCTTGTTGCCGACGTAGTCCTTGAAGGAGGGGCTCTTGTCGGGGAGGGGGTAGGGGTTCATCACCTCCGACAGGTATGCTTGCTTTGAGAACCTGGAATTATACACAAAACACTGAAAAAACGCTTATCTGGTAACTTTGAATCGAATTTAAAAGAAAAAATAATTTTTTCATTCAATTCTTTGTCGATTTGTCCGTGAGTTTGTGTGCGCTAATCTTAGAAACGACTAAACCGACTTGAAAACAGTTTGCACCAATTTTTTATCGTTTGCTTTAAAAGATTTGTATTTTTGTATGTATTGAAATAACTCAAAAACTACAGGCTATATTTTTTCTAATTTGACGGGGACGTAGTCGCGACCCACATCTAGTATATTAACCTTGGGTTCGTTTGATACCTTACAATAAAGGTTCAGCTTAACAAAGTTACTTTTGACAACATTACTAACTCCCTTAAAGTTACTAAGAGTTACTAAAAGTTACTAAGAGTTACTAAAAGTTACTAAAAGTTACTAAAGTTACCAAGAGTTACTAAAAGTTACTCAAAGTACTCTTAGTAAAGAGTTACTAAAAGTTAGTAAGAGTTACTAAAAGTGACTAAAACTCACGCGAGAGTGAGCGTGTACTCTCCAACGGTGACGTTATTCAAGTTCTGGACGCAGCGCTCTACAGACACGCCGTCACCCATCTGCACCATCGCGGTGCCTTCCTTCGTCTTCAGGAACTTGATCTGAAAGACAAACAAACAATAAAGCCTTAACAGTGGTAGTCTTTAACATCTTCGCACTGCAG